TCAGAAAAATATGCAGCAACATCTAGAAAGAGGCCATTAGGACTTGGTTACACCTTTAAGAACAGCCTTAAGCAAGAGATAAATCACATATGTTGTTACACAGGTAGCAGAAACAGACCTAAAAGAACTGCCATTGAATCACAAATACTTTGGCTTTGGCACACTGAGTATAGCACATTTAGTCTGGTTTAGAGCAGTTACTACCTCAGATAAGAAAAGACAGGACTTATTCCTGACTCCACCCTCGCCTTGCCCCTCCATACCCTGCACTGCCCCGAAAAGGTTCGTTTTTTGCTTTGATGTAGCTGTTTAGTCTATTCTATTCTATTCTATTCTATTCTATTCTATTCTATTCTATTCTATTCTATTCTATTCTATTCTATTCTATTCTATTCTATTCTATTCTATTCTATTCTATTCTATTCTATTCTAATGTTTATTTTTATGAATTCAATGATTATCCAATATGTGCTTTATTTTTATTTCTCCTGTAAAGGGACAGAAGTGGTGACTTCACCCAAAACCTCGAAACAAACCTTCATTTCTGAGACAAGGGAACCATTTTTATTCCACTACATGAATTCAGTGGGCTGCCACAGGCCAGTCATAATCTGTTATTGTTTCCCTACAACCCTGGACTATTAATTTTTCTTTTTAATGAACTGTCCACTCTAGTTTAGCTATGGGAACTATGATGGAGCCGCCATAGAAATGGTTTATGTCATGCCTTTGTCAAAACACTTTCCCCTAGAGCAGTAGAATGTAATTGAAAAGCCATTTTAAAATACAGTAACTGAGTGGTTGCAAATGCAGGTTGTCAGGAATAGAAGGGGGAAAACCATTGCATTATATTAGATTTTACCAATCACAACCTGTGTGACTTTATTAGTGTTTATACAGATGAGTAGAGTCACATAAATTGCATGTGTAGCATGGTTATATCTCCAAATATTCCTGAAAGATACTGAAGCAATTTTCAAGAAGTTTTTCTTCAGCTGTGACTAAGAGTGCATGAATTGGCTTGGTTAAATACCTCAAAAGAATTAAATACATTAAATTATGATTTATTTAATAGCATACAGAATACATCCACTTTTGAAACAGTAAACTAACATTTGAGTAGAATTCAAGACAGTTTTTGTTGCATATGAAACTTGAATGGCTGAGTGCACAGCAACCAATTTTTATATGTAATAGAAATGTGCAAGACAGGCTATTTAGTTTTCTCTTGTGTTTATTTTTTCTAGCCCTGAATGTGTGCATCTTTTTTCTTGGAGACCCTATGGTGAATGTTTTAAACATGCTATTATTACTATCATCATCATTATTGAAGCCCAAAGTGAGCAACTATACAGAGGATTTATAGTGTAAGTTGGTAAGTTTTCTTAACAATTTCTGATCAAAATTGTTTCTGGAAGACTTTGATTTAGCTTTTGGTTCACACTTCTCACCTTTAAAGTAATTATGGGCATTTTGTTAGAAATTAATTTTATGACAACACAGATTTCTCAAGGTTATTTTGACTCACGAGTGTTTGGAGTTCTGGCGAGTTTTTTAGTCAATGTATCAAGCCCTTAATGCTCCAGAGCAGAGCACACCCAGCCCAAACAGGGTTGGGATTTCCCAGAAAGCTGGCAAAATGCAGAGATGAGTGTTTGATGGCTCAGTGGTTTCAGCATTTGAGCTGGAATAAACCTTTTGCCACCAAGACCTGAATTTCAGTTCAGGTACAAGTTAATTGCTTCCAAAAACAAATTACACATTTCAACAAAGTCAAGGTTCTTTCAAGGCAATAGTACTTCATAGAAATAATTTTCTATTAAAAGCAGATAGGAAATCTAAAATGTTCATGCTAGGAGGTATTGAGACCAGAAGAGACAGGACTGTGAACATATTTCCCACTTGATGTCTTTTAAGTCTATGTAATTTATAACAAAATAATCATTCTTCTTTGGTATCTGTTAGACCAGGATATCTGTCTTATAATTATTCTAACAATATTTCCAAAGGAGTTTTAGCTCAAGCAAGTCTTGAAGAGCACGAAAAAGCAAAAGTAATAAATTCAGACTGCATCTTATTACACAGACTGTGTGAAATGACTTCCTCTTAACAGTTCACTCTCAGGCCTTTCTTTAAGAACCACTTAAAGATTCAATTTACTTTGGAGTGTCATCTTACTAAAATCAAAGCTTTTGCCCTCATATATGAGCCTATTTTATTGAGATTACTAATATCCATCCTAAAAAACATGTAATAAGCTGATCCTGCAGGTACATGAGGTGTCTGCCCTGTGATGTAATTCTGTGGGTGGAAATCAACCTTTTTTCCACGTGGCATTTGTGCAGAAGCAAAATTATACAGCAATTGCCTTCCAAGATCTGCACTGTATGCCAGAAATACAATGGTTTTCCTACCATAGCCTTTCCATTAAAAACAAATAATAAAAAGGATGTTGGATAAGAAAGAGATAAAGTATACATCATACAACACTGATTTTTATGGCCAGTAAGTGAACTTTAGTTTTTCTTCCTATATGGTGAACTCATCACAGCCTTCCAGTACCTGAAGGGGCTACAGGGAAGCTGGAGAGGGACTGTTCATCAGGAATTGCAGTGACAGGACACAGGGAATGGCTTTACACTGACACAGAGAAATTCAGGTGGACATATGGAGGAAATTGTTCCCTGTGAGGGTGGGCAGGCCCTGGCACAGGTTACCCAGAGAAGCTGTGGCTGCCCCATCCCTGGAAGTATCCAAGGCCAGGTTGGAAGGGACTTGGAGCACCCTGGGCTGGTGGAAGGTGTCCCTGCCCATGGCGGGGGGTGGGATGAAATGAGCTTTAAGGTCCTTCCAACCCAAACCATTTCGTGTTTCCATGAGATTGTTCTTTTTTGGGCCCTGCAGACCCTTCATTCACAGATTGCTTTCAGAATCACATAATTGGAAGGAAATGTACCTGCTGTTGCCTACTCCCAGTCTCTCTTGAACTTCTGTATAAAAAATCCAAGCAGTGCAGGAAGGAATCTCTAGTCAGGATATTCCCACTTCCCGAGGCTGCTGGTCTGTGTTCCAGCTGCCAGAGAGCTCAGCAGGGCTTGCTGTCTGCCCTGCTGCTCCTTGTCCCACGAACAATAGCTAAACATGAATATTTTACCTTCTCAGCCCTTTGATTATCCAGATACTGTAACAGGAAATTTACATTCCTGAACAGGCACAGCTGGAAGTAATTTAAGAAAGATCCTTCAAAAGAAGGGAAGAGAATTCAGGAAGCATATGGATGCACAGGTTTACATGATAATCAACAAAAGCAGCTCTTGTTCCTCCTCTTTTGCAGGGAGACACTTCACACCCCAAGCAGAGGGAACATCCCACAGTTACTCTGCAGGAAGCTTTCTTTCAGAAATTATTTGCTTTAACTCTGATATGTAAAAAAGTCAGTGAGAAAAGACGCATCAGGTTTGCAGATCAGGCATGAAAAAAAGTGGAGTAGGGACCCTGGATTGTTAAATTCACTTATCTCATACACGGGTGACAGGGATGGGCCTTCATGTTTTCCTTTAAGTTTATCCCTCACAGTCCTTTAATTTGTAAAAATTTAGTTTAGTTGGAAGTGTAGCTCTGAAGTAGAGGCCTGAGAAAGAGGCCTGAATAAAACCATGAACTGAGACACAAAAAAATGCCAAAAGAGGCAAACTGAAACAGCGGTGAGAAAATTCCTGTAACTGTGCATGGAGCAGAGACCCAGAGAAACTGAATGCAGAACGAATTTCAGGTATTTTTGCTGTGTCTTCCTGATACCCATAAATGAATTTGAAACCTAGTCAGGAAGTCCTCAAACCACACCCTCTTTAGAAGCCTTCTGTTGAAAAGCTGTATCTGAACAAGGGCTGAGCTTCGTTTGCAAAACGTGGCCTTTGTGTTCAGACAGGATAAGAATCCCCCATGCTGAGCCCTTCCTCGGGAGCGGAGGAGCTGAGCTAACCTGGCTGCTGGTGGTGTCATTGTCACATCAGCCCCAGGGCTGCGTTTGCCTCAGCGAGGATGCCACAAACACACCCACAGAGCTGCTCACGAGGGTGTTTGAGTGTACGGCCCGTTCGGCTGCCGGAAATGAGATTATTGTCATTCAAGGACATTTCCACAGAAATGAAGCATCTGTCAAGCAGGACTTGAGTGCATTGAATGCAAAACCTGTGAGTCAGCTGCGCAGAGATTTTTAACAACCTGCTTTTCCTCGACAATTCAGACGGGATCATGCCTTTGATTCCATAAAAATGGTAGTGTTTCTATATTTATTATCTATTTCACCTAATCTGTTTCTGTGTTAATTTAAAAAAAAAACAAACACGGGCACTCCTGTAAGTGGGTAATTCTCACCTCTGTGGAATCGCAGTAATAGCACAAATGAGGATTAGCATACCGAGGATTTGAAAAATGAAAGGTATCAGAGCAGCAGATACAACTATTTTTAACTCTACAGTTTCCTGTACTGCTCTATTTCCACACTTTCCACCTTCTTTGAAGCTGACACCCACTACATTCTTTTCCCAACACAAGTCTGAACAGTTCTATTAAGCTCAGTGCTATTGCACAAAATATCAGAGAAATAACCCAAATACGGAATTAATCTTACTAGAATAAGAAAAGTATGAATCTTTTTGACTGATAAATTCAAGCTGCAGACCTAAATATCAGAAAAATTCTGAAATTTCTGTTCTTCAGAGCTTTAAACAAGAAATTAAACAAACGAACCAAAAAAACACACCTTCTCAAACAGTGCTTTGCAGACACAGAAATCTGTGTCCTACAGCATCAGCTCTCCTGAGTGACACAAAGAGCACTGGATAAACCCTCTGAGGCAGGAGAAACCCGGTTGACAGCACACCCTGAGAGAGGATCGGTGTTCCCTCTGTCGCACAAACACTGCAGACAGCACAGAAACAACAGCCACGGACGGCTGGACCCCCCTAGGAGATCACCGGGTTGGATGCAGGGCTTACCTTCACCCACTGGAAACTTGTTGCCAGTTGATGTAGCATATTCCACACATTTGAAATGCCACTTAACGAGGCTGGGAGATGGTGCAGGTGTCAGGTCTCTGCTGCCACGGATCCACTACTTCAGCTCTGGCTGCAGACAAGGAAATCTGTTAGAAATGCGATGCAATGGTGGTACCACAATAACAGGAAACAAAAGTCTACCCTATGAACTACCACAGTAGCCTAAAAAGAGTCTAAAGACAAGAAACTAAATACTACCTATCATTTCAAGGAGAAAATTAGTAAATAGTCTTTACCTTAGAGTTACAGAATCACAGAATGGTTTGGGCTGGAAGGGACCTTAAAGCTCATCCAGTTCCACCCCCTGCCATGGGCAGGGACACCTTCTACTACAGCTTGTTCCAAGCCCCATCCAACCTTTCAAGGTTTAACAGAATATTGCCAAAATGTTCCCATAACTAAAATTTTTGAGCTCATATCAAAATTCTTTCACATCTTTTTTGTTATCTCTTGAAAAAAACCCCTGAGTTCTAGGGGAAAAGTCTGTTCTGGGAACATTATCCAAGACAAGACACATTGTAGTGAAAAAAAATAACAGCTGCAGATGCCATCAACCAACAAGGTGTGCTTCGAACATTTCTAAGTGCTCTGAAGGCATATTATTAAAAAATTAGTGTTTTTACCATCATGATGGAGAAGGGAGTCAATTATTGTAGGAAGTAGAACTGTACTACAGTAGGGAAAAAAAATATCTAGGATAAAGTATTTTAAGCAAGGAAACAAGCAAGAGGTGGCTCTGCCTGTAAGAAGTTCATCTCTAGTTGTTTCAGTGTTTAAAATTCTTTCCTAAAAGGGTCAAGAATTTGAACCAGGCTGTAAAAAGGGTGCAGACACAAAAGGAAACCTGCTGAGTCATTTCTTAGGAGGTGAGGTAAGTCTTTTCTTGAATTTAAATTAGTAAGTCAAGCATGCTCAGTTTCCCAGAGCAGTCTCATCACCCCTTATGTTCCTGAAAATATGTTCCTATACAAGTAAAATATAAATAAAATATATTTAATGTGACTGAATGCCATGGAAATACTCAGTGTGATCTGTTGTTAAGTTCTGGTGTAGACACTGTATTTATGATGCCTATTCCGAGACCTTGATAGATTCTTAAATGGCCCTAAATGAATTCTAGGACTAAGACTCATTCTCACCAAGGAAATCAGGGTGGTTTCCCCAGCACTTTCAGATTTAATAACTGAAAATTTCTATGAAGAATTATTGAAAAGTAACCTCTGTAACTTGAGTTGATACACCCAAGTAATTAATTTTCTTCAGTGTTTCACTGTTGTCTCGTCTATACCAATCCCTCATTTCATACTCACTTTTCATCCCCAATCAAGCTTTAGTTGCAAAAAACCAGTTCAGCAGCACAGGCCAAACTTCAAAGTTCCAGCAAAAGTGTAGAGAAACAAAATAGGCGTTGATTGAATATGTAATATTCAATATTGCAAAAACATATTTCATACTTATTCCACCAAGGAAAGAAATAAAATCACGTGGCTTCTCTGGCCACTCGTGGTTGCAGATATGTTGACTTATTATTTTAAAGATTTGGGGTCATGTTCTATAAAAGAACACATTCCTAGAAAGTGGATTTTGGTCTATGAAATAATCATTTGTGTGATGACTGAGTCACTAATACACAAGCCGTTGGTTTATAAAAAGACTCCACACATGCAACACATTTATGCAATTTGCTATGAAGTACGTGTGGCAATTTAAAATTTGCTCATTTTGCAAGCAAGTTTGTTTGTTTTCTTCCAAAAAGGACTCTTTTTAACTAATTCACAATTCAGATGAATGAATGAAAAGAAAGAACTAAAACTGAATAAGCTCTCTCATTTTGATAAGTTGTTCAGTATCTTTCCAGACAACAACATCTTTATGGATGACTTTGGAGCTCAAGGTTCCTTTATGCCCAAGACATTTGAAGTTGCTTGGATAAGTATTTCTAAGATATCTCTTACATATCCCTATGGTGGAATTTTATGAGCTCAGTTTTTGCTCTTAAAAGCAGCAAATAGTTGGTAAAAAATCCTGCCAGTCCTCAACCTGACCTTCTACATTATTAAGTTTTTCCCTGTGCAAACACCTGACCACCAGTGAAGTGACCATGTAAATCACAGGGTGGGTTGGGTTAGAAGGGACCTTGTTCCAAGTCCCAAATAATAAATAATAAGTTTACTCTCAAGTACAGGCTCCATTCTTCGGTTCCACTGCATTTCAACAGATATCAGGGGTTACAAATCAATATTTTTTGTAGCACTAACCATTATTTGAAGTAGATAAATCTTCATATTAACCTCTAGCAATGAGAAACTCCTCCAGATATCAATTTTCATGAAAAACATGGTTTACGACTGCTGAATGATTACTATAGCAGGCAAAACTGTTTAGCTGATTCATTGATATATAGGTATCAGATACCTATTTATTTACTATTGTTACTTTATTTATCAGATGCCCATTATTTACTGAATATTATAATTTTATTTTCTTATTTTCTGATGCAGCTGAACATGCCTTCAACAGTGTGGTTCTAATAACTCTATAACCTTTACAAAAGGGAGAAAAGCCAAAAAAACCCCAAGTTCTGTATTTACAGAAGGCTGTTTCAAAGTCCAATTAAAATTACAAGAAAACTCACAAACCCCTCCATTAAACAGTTCCAGTGCCCCAAATAGATTTGCCACAGTGGCGCTTTGAATCAAACCGCGCCCAACAAGATTTTTTGGGGGGTAAAAGAAGCCGTGGCCACAGAGCTGGTTTATGCAAAGTGACAACTCGAACAATTTGGAAATGTTGCTGGTTGGAGGGGGAAAGGCCCCCCAAGCATTGTCACTATGGTAATTACTGCACAATGCCTGATGTGAAATGGGCAGTGCTGGGCCCAAGCAGCAGCTGAATCCTGCATTGTCCTTGCATGATAAAAAGATTTGAAAGTCTGAAAAGCAGAGGAACGGAATCTCACAGCTTCTTAGAGTCCCCTCTGAAAGGGCCATTGTAACATCATCATAAATCCTGGGCTCCCCAGGCACTTGACAACTAAAGCAGTGGACAATAGAATTCTTGTGTTGAACAAAACACTCCTTGTCTGCCAAAGGGCTTATCTGCTTCATTTACAAATGTCTTTCTTTGTAGCAAAATAATTCCCTATTAGAAAAACTATTAGGAACAGCACTAAATAAATATTCACAGCTTTGCGGGCTGTTTGGCAAAGTGAATAAACTAATACAATCACAGAGCATGCAAAATATGAGATTTATATCAAGGAAACCCAAAACAAGCCCGAGCCACTATTTATTTTCATTTTCCCTTTTCCTGATTGCAGGGAATTGCACTGCTTACACATTTGTCTCTATAAAAAAGACCCAGGAACATTATCACTAAAAGAGATGAAAAATATTAGAAATCTGCAAAGATCTCAGATTGGAGCAAAATCATATCCAATGTGCTTCTAAAATTAAGTATTTCCAGAAGAGCAATTACAGAAATAAACCTGAAAACATATCTGAGAGTGTAACGAAATAGAGACAAATTACTCACAGTCATCAAAGGATTTAAACTGTGGATTTATAACCACGTATGTTTAGGTCCCAGTTACTGAGAGATGCAAAAGCATCAGGGATGAGTTGTTGAAATGAAAAAGTGCCAGATTATTGTAACTTTGTTGATTCAAGCCCAGTGAAAATTCTGGTAGCTATCACAGAAGTGACCCTAAAATATCCTGTATATATGACACTTCAGAAAGCATTTCTAACATAGTCAGAATTCCGTTGTCTCAAGTTTCCACACAAAGAGTTATTTAGTTATAATTTACTAGAGAAGTGCTTATGGAAAGACAACTGACACCATGCCCAGTTATTATTGAAGGAAAACCTCACCAATCTAAATTATTGCTCAAGCAAAGGGTACTGGTACTTGACTATGTTCAAAGTTCCAGAGTCATCTGTACAGCTGAATTAAAACCTGAAGAGGTTCAAACTTATTCAAATCCAGTATGGAAACAACATTTTTATGCAGCCCAGACAAATGGACTAAGTGGCTGAATGAGGTTTTTTTTCCCAGCCTACAAAAATGCAGGTATTTATAACCTGCATATTAAGCAGATACTCAAATGTTCAGAATGTACACAATAAACAACAATACTGGTAGAATGCAAAAAGGAAGCACCTAACATTAATTAAAATACAAATAATGCGAGTTTAAGTTCACAAGGCAGAACCCAAGATTTAGGAATATGTGAGCTTTCCATGGTTCTACCACAAATTTTTCATCTGACCCTTCCACTTAACCTTGGAGCCATTTCTAAAAGTAAGCAAGGACACACTGCAAAACATTCCACCCATGAAAAATGTACAAATCAGTATAAAAACCAGAGGAAAGAGGCCTGAATTCAGAGCTCCCACGTGACAGCTGAGGATCTCTACTATTTGGGTGCAGAGCTTCACCATTTTTTCTGTCACCTTCTCTCCTCAGTGAATAATTAACTGTTCTAAAGATGTAGGCACAAGTTCTGATTTACCACGAAGTTTAAACTTGACTTCCCATATGCCATGTTTTGATGTTTGCTATTCTGTGCAGTGCAGTGCCCAAACTCCCCTCTCTCCTGAAGCTGTATCATCTGCACAAATATCATTTGCATGAAGTTATTCTGATCATTTTGGCAGTTTGCAATTCAGGAACACAGCTTCAACAAAATCTGTTTCCTGCTAGCTCTCAGAGTTTTATTCTAGTTCCTACTACAAGGCACACAAGCACACCATATTTTTATATAGTGGGTTGTCTCTGCTCAGGTATAAAAAAAAGGGATCTGCACTGAAGTTTAAGTCTCTTAGTGTACAAGGGGCATTTAGCCCTGATAGAGAACGTGGATCTGGGTGCCTTGACCAGAGAACAGTGTCTTTGGTATATATAATTTGTTCCTGCAAGTTTTTATCTTGGCATCTAAATAAGCTTAGGCTGGGAATCACTTTCCAGGAGAATCTTTTTCCACTTATAGAGGCAGCTAAGCCAAGGAATGTGAATCCCACATGCAGCAACCAACACAGCAGCCTAGAATGATTCAGGTGGGAAGGGACC